AGTTAAGTAACGAAAAATTAGGTGTCTATTTACTTGTGACCACTCAGTATATATATATATATATATACACACACACAAACACACTATTATTTTTTATTCGGTTAACGTTGGATCACTGGGTATTATTATAACATCGACTACTACTCAGCGTGAACAATGTAATTATCTAATTGTTGTTTTTGCTATAAATAAATTGTAAAATATTGTTTCGCGAAATTAATTCATTTATATATTTGACAGTTATTAATTTGATATTTATATTCATCAACTCTCACATAAAAAAAATAGCTTAATATTTTGGTAAATTAAATTACAATTAATTTTGTTAGACTTAAGTTGGCAGAACTGGAACTGAATAAATAATGACATGTAAGTTTAGTTTGCTATGGAGCAAAGCCACATTGCGGGGAATCGAGCCCCCGATTTTAGTGTTGTAACTCGGTAAACTTATCGCTATCCCACAGAGGACCCGACTTTTAAAACCTAAAACTTTATCTGACAAAAGTCTTTGTTTGTGTGCGCTTATGGCTGACGAATCGTAAGACTGATTGTCCCCAAACCTGGCATGTAAGCTTAGGGCCCCACCCCCGAAAAGTGAAATAACGAGATCGGCGTTCGGATATTACCTCTGTATCATCCTCAAAGGCCTCTATGATTTACCCGTGCGTTAAATGGTCATGCCAAATATATATATATATATATATTAGTTATATTTAACAAGCCACCCATAAAAAAACTGGTTATTCTGCAAGCCTCCCATAAAAACTGGTTATTCCGTAGAAGTAAAATACCGATCTAGTTCATACACACACCTATCAAATTTCTAAACAAAATTTCATGTTTTACCTGTTTTAGTTTTTCATGAGAAAGTAAGTGTACATATATACTGAAAACAGTCACGTTTTTACATGTTTCCAGTTTACTGCCCTAATTTTAATAAGACACGTAACCCTAATTCACGTAAAGCTATATTTACCAAATAATTCAGCCTTCGCATTTAATAAACAACTTAATTTTGACTCAAAATAAGTAATCTTTACAACAGCTTACATTAAACACGCTAATGTGGTGATTATTTAAGTTAAAGTAAGCAAACATTTGAATAAACTGCAACGAACAGTCTAGTGAAATGTTTAGTTCATTCCACGTAAGCAATTATGAAAGTAAACGGTGGTGTTAATAAAAAAATAAACTAAAATTATGTTTGACTACATGTAAAAAAAAAAAAACTATTCAAATAATGGTATTGAACAATATATCAGTTTGTTGGGCTCCACGTAGCCAACCATTATAATAAACGGTACTGAACAATACAAATAAACTAAAATGATTTTCTGACTCTACGTAAGTAACAATTTGACTTGCATAATTGCATTAAACAATATATCAGTTTGTTGGGCTCCACGTAGCCAACCATTATAATAAACGGTACTGAACAATACAAATAAACTAAAATGATTTTCTGACTCTACGTAAGTAACAATTTGACTTACATAATTGCATTAAACAATATATCAGTTTGTTGGGCTCCACATAATCAATCACTGACACAAGTTGTATTAACAGGTCTAACAAGATCACTTATTCCACGTTAAAAAACTATCGATCTTACATTTACTAAAACAGGTCTAGTAATATTGTTATTTACCGCTTTCCAACATTTCAATACACCAGTTATTTCAGCCTAAAAACATAAAACAAGCCTTTCACTACACATTCAATACGAAAAGTGTAGAAGGTTATGGTCGATTTCAGGACTACGTCTTACCTCACATGATTAAATTCGGCTCAAACACTTTTCTGTACAACAATTAACTAAATACACACACACACACACACACACACACACATATATATATATGTGTGTGTGTGTGTGTGTGTGT